TATCAAACTAACCAGGTGTTTTTAAAAATCAGCTTTAAAATTTACAATACAATGAAGTACCAGGCTGATGTTTTAACAGATGAATTTGTGCTTTATTTTATTCCTTTGGTTTAATCCATGGCTTTTAAAATGTCCCTTTTAATGCCCCTGAGAGTCCCTGACCAGCATAGGGTGGGCTGGAGGGTGAACGCACTGCACTGGTGAGAGGGAAACTTCCACAGTCAGCCCAGAAGGAGCCTCAGTTCTGTGGGAGGAGCCGGATTGGGCTGTGGGGTCCTCTGGGAAGCAGTGGAGAAAGCGGGGTTCTGATGTGGGGGTTTTCAGAGACAGTTTAAGATCCAGGCTAATCTCTTAAATCCAGTGGTTTCTGTCATTCTCGGTGTGTGTTGCTGCATAAGCATGCACGAATAAAATCTGTTTTGTTCGTTAGCTGCTTGGACTGGAAAAATTTGCTGCTTTTTGTCCTATTGGAGAATTCCAGATACACAAGTAGTGCATCTTAAATCCCTCCATGCATCTGCAACTGTAAAGTAATAACATCTGTTTAATTCCTGGTAGGACCTAGAAACTTTATTTAAGTCTAAAATAAACCACCCTCATGTACATAACTCAAAACCTGAATGAGAAATTAAAGGTACCTGTGATGTGGAAGTTGTCTACTGCATTTTTTCCCTGTAGCAAAGACACATTTACCAGGCCACCCGGCCCCAGTGCTGGCAGCAGTGTCGCTGCTCCTGTGCAGAGTGAGCCTTGTGGGGCAGCAGGGAATGATCTCAGGGATGGTCCTGACCGGACCAAAGCTGAAGCCCTGGCTGCAAGAGAGCCACACCACAGGCATGGGAGTGAGGGGGACTGGGGCGTGCTGTGGAACTGTCCCCACTGTTGCTGTCAGCTTGTGCTGTGCCTGTGCTGTGGTCAGAGCTGCAGCAGTGAGGTTACTGGGTCAATAATGAACTAGATGCATTGGAGGGGGCGAGGGGGTCACTGGTGCTTTGGCACTTCCTGACTAAAGCTGGCAGCACGTGCCAGGCCCCAGCTCTGGCCTGTCCCCAGAGCCCCTGCAGCTCCCTGGGCTTAGCCTAGCCTGCGGCGTGCCACACGCGTCAGAAAGTGCGACATCTTTTGTGGCTTAGATAGAAGCTGAGCTTGGTGTTTTATACCACCTTGCACTTTAGAAGGTGAAACAAACCCGTCCTGCTTTTGTGTGTGGTGTGACCAATGTGTGCCCAGGACACTGAGGAAAGGAAAACAACCCCTGGTTGGTAGTGAGTGGGGACTGTGGGCATGGGGTCCCTGCCTCTCCTCTGCCGCTTCCTGTCCATGTGAACTGCCTGAGAAATCACTCTTAGACAGCTCCTGACTCTCCTGAGAGCTGGTTAAAAGGAAAAATACTTTGTTTTTGTAGACAGTGGTGGCTTGGTAATCCTTTAATGGTTTGAATATTGCAAATGCTGAGTGGAGTGAAGGAGAAGCGCCCTTGGAGTGAGCTGTTGTGTCCAGCTGTATATAACGTCCGTGTACTAAATCAATACCGAGAGTCCTGTAGCAAGAGCACGTGCATAGAGGGGTGGGATGGACGGGGGGGGAGTGGGGGGGTCGCGTTGGATTTGCAAGTCACAACTGGCGTTAACTGGCCTTTTTATCTTTCCACTGTGTCATGTAAGTAGCTGCTTTCCTGTCCTGCCTGTCCCTCAGGCTTCCCCGAGTTCATTCTGAAGAGAAGTAAGCAAAATCCTCACGCTTTAGAGTCGATCCCGACATCGACGTGAAGGCAAATGTCAGATGTTTGTTTGAGCGCTGTTAGAGGTTGCAATTGGAGAGAACAGTTCCCAGGCTGTAGGAGTTAACTGAAGCATTGACACAATTAAAACAAAATCGGTAAAGGAATGTATATAATACTGCTCTGTGTTTTACAGTAAGATTTGTTGCTCTCAGACTGTGTAAAACAAAATCTATTCATGTTTTCTGCATATTAAAAAAATCTTATTGTACCAATTGGTAAACTATTAAATGCATATAAAACTAGATGTGGTTTTGTTTCCTTGGATGCAAGAATTAAAACTATTTTGAAAAAAGCTATTGGTGTTTCACCCTCAGATTTTGCTCCCACCTGCTTTGCCCTTGCTCTGATTTTAATTTAACTGGTGCTCACCTGAGGCTGCAGAAAGCGGTTTTGAGCTGGTTCATGGCAGCTGAAGTAGTGAGAGGTTTTGTTGTTTGATCCGATCGAATGAGTTGCTGCAGGAAATGTTCAGGTGGGCTAAGCTGGACTCACAGGTGGGCAGGAGAGCCTTATCCCTGTGCCTGGCACAGGCCAGGCCTGGCTGGGTTGGGTTTGGTGGGGTTTTCCCTTCTCTTGATGCCGTCTCTGTGCCACAGACAGGAGCTGCCTTACTGCTCCTCGCTCGTGCTGGGGCCGGGGGCTGAGCGTGGCCGCCCACCCTCGGGGCAATCGCCCTGGCTGTGGGGCAGCACGGCACTGGGTGCTTCTGGTAACATCTCTTCTGCTCTTAGCGTTTGTGCCTGTGTGTGCTTTGGCTTAATTTTTCCCTGTGGTTTGGCCCCAATTGCCTCAAGTACCGTTTAGAGATGGGTCAGTGGCCAGAACTGGAATGGGCACATCTTCATAATGGCAGAGCACGGATGTGCTTGTGAGCTTGATATGGGGAGAGAATGAAAGGGCCCTCCCGCCAGCTGAGGTCTGTGGGAGCAGCTGGTAGGGTGGTACTTTGCAGTGGGAACAGACACGGGATTGACATTTGGATAAGACTCACTTGCATTTGGGAAAAAAACTGAGTCTGCGTTCTGCCAGAGCCAGTGCATGCATGGGCTGTCCCAGATGGGGTGACAGGGTGGCACAGAAGTGGTTTGTGGGGTGAGGGTTGAAAGGCAAGCCTCGTGTGTCCACAAGCAGTGAGCTTCTCACAGGGAGCGCAAGGCAGGTTCAGGTGGGAGTTGCAAGAACAGTGTGGGCAGTTAAATTTAATTTTCCCCCTTAGCTGGGTGAGCTGTTGCTCGTGCAGCAGTGCTGCACTGACAGCAGCTCTGAGGTGTTTCCAGTCCCACTAGAGCACTGATGGGCACTGGCACATTTTTCAGTGAACAGGTTGAGTACCTGCCTGCCTCCAGCTCAGCTGGGTCCCAGGGCCCATTTGAATCAGTTTTTACACTCGTGTTTTAAGAACTTGTGAACAGAGTAATGAGAACCCCCAGAACCCGAAAGAGGTAGTGAGGTACAGACAGATGTTGGCAAATGCAGTTACTTACCAGCCTGCATTGTCCTTGGAGCTGCTTAGCTGTGGAGCCTCAGTAGCCAGGACTTGTCTCTTTCAGCATCAATTCACATGGGTACAACATCCCCAAAGCTGTGTCCCTGCTCCCACAGCTCCCCTGGATGAGAGGGCAGAGTGACTCATCTCCCGGAGCACAAATGGAGGGTCCTACCCCCTCTGGGCTGGAGTCGTGACTCTGGTACTGATTTACAGCTTTTAAAGCCTCCGGGTCAGCTGGTCCTGTTCTCTCCCCCCAGCTCCTGCTCAAAGGAACAGGAGTGGTGGCCTGCAGTGCTGGTACCAACACTTTGCACCAAACAGTAAAGAAACAAAAAAAATACCTCTAGGAGTTTAAAAAGCTTTTAATGGACTGTAAGACACTAGTAAAAGAAAAATCTTGTAGGAAAGATGCACTGTAGTCATTTATTGATTGCTTTCCAGGAAATTCAGAATTTTTCTAATAGGAGCAAGTTCATTTGCAGTGAAGACTCTGCTTTGATGTCTCCAGCACCTCAGAGGCTGCTCCCTCCTTTCCCCCCCGCCCAGCCCCGAGTTACAGATACCTGTAGGGTCAGACAGGAAACCGAGGGTACAGAGCACAGGGACAGCACTTGGCTCCAAGGTCAGTAAGAGCAGCAGCACGGATTAGCACGGGGCACGATCCAGGACAGACAACGCGAGGCAGGGAGAGGCTGGGCACCAGCTGCGGCCAGCCCAACCTTCTTCTACAGCTTGATCTGCTTGGAAAACGGGACATTCAACTCTGTCGGCATCCCAGGGCTTGCAGCAGCCACATCTGACCTGCTGGAGGACAGTGACAACCCCACGGGATGTGTGTGGGAGGGGAGGGGACAGGAGGAGTTCTTTAGTGGCACTTGCCATTCAGTACCGTCCATTGCCAGCAATGGCAGCTCCCAGTGCCAGTCCCAAAACCAGTGAGCAAAAACACCAGAGGCAAAGGGATTGGCCAGAGGTTTCAGTGCTGGGGGAACTTCAGTTTTTATTTAAACCCCTTCCCCAAAACCTGGTACTTTCTGGTTGTGATTCTGTCAGGTTCAGGGCCCTCAGCTCTGTGTCAACAGCTCCTGTTGCAAATGATACCAGGTCTCTATTTCTGAATTTTCCTGCCCTCTCCCCTGCCCTTAAATAGGGCTGTGATAGCCTCCTCACTCCCCTTAGCTCAGCCCTCATTTGCTGCATTCCCACCTCACCGAGGCACTGGGGTTTCCACTGCAATGGAAGTTTGTGCGCTTTTTTAAAGATCAAGCCCTCACTCTTTGGATACAGTATCCCAAGTTACTCAGCTGCAAGCAGAGGCAGAGGTGGAACGGTGAATATAATATATATCTATATATATATATATATCTATATATATATATCTATCTATATCTTTACCTTGAAAATTAGAATGTGAATGTTACAAAACCCCACTGAATTGCCAAACTGTCAACCAAACATAGAAAAAAATGGTTAAAGGGATCCCATGGCTATATCCTGATGTAGAAAATGCTGTACATCCCCCACTTCCACATGTCACAGGCTTCAGTCATCTCAGTGACTGTTCAAACATGGCTGTTCTCAGCCCAAGCTTGAATAGTGACTGGGGGGAAATCAATCTTTTGGCTTGGAATCCACGTTTTGCAAGAACGTGGAGCAGTGATGGGGCTGGTTCTTTACTGGTTTAGCAAAGCAGTGTCCTTAGTCAACATAAAAATGACCTGAGAAATGTTACATTCCTCCAGACAGTTCATTTGGAATTCATATGTACAAAGTAGAAATAACTGCTGCGCACACACACGACACGGACACACACACGGCAGGAGGGCCCCGCGCCCAGGACGGGTCTGTGCTGCCTCCGGCCACTTCCCCTCGCGTGGCAGACACAGCCTTGGGCACACAGATTACATTGCTCAGATTAGTTCTTTGCATTGTGTATTAATTGTACCAGTGCAATAACATTGTCAAAAAGGAGGAGCTGCTCCGAAGGCAGCTAAGGCCCTGGGCCGGATTCAGAAAAGGGTGGTTTAAACTTTTTTTTTTTTAAAGCGAGGTACACGTTAAGCAGAGCTCTGTGTTAAGGGGATGGCAGCAGAAGGCATGCTCGGCTCAGCCTCTTTCTCCTCCACAGCTTTGTCCTCTGCTTCCAGCTGTTCCCCACTTTTCATGCTTTCCTGGAGCTGCTGGCGTCGCTGCACCTCGGCTTTAAGGTTCTCCAAGTCTTTTTGGCTGAAGGGGAAAGCAGGAAGGGGAGCAGACATGAGACTGGGTGTGGGAATGGTGAAGCATGTTCAATGGGGGAACACTGCTTGCACCTCCCTCGCCCACAGCTCAGCCATGCCTGAGCACAGCCAGGGCCCAGTTTGCTGGCTGGGTTTGAACAAAGAGGCACCAGGATCTGCCCTCTCAGTGGGGCTGGGGCAGAGCAGGGGGTTCATCTCGCTGATGGCCAGGCAGCCTCCAGCTGCATTTTTACCACCAATGATATGTGCAGCCTTAGAACAACAGTCTTGGCTCGGGTCATCTATTTCCACCATCATCCCAATCAAATTTTCAACAAGAAGTATTAAAAAAAACCAAACAAACAAACAAAAAAATCATCATCATCATCTAATAGTCCTGCTGCTTGCAGTGGTCTTGATGATGCTAATCAAGGCCTCAGTTGAGATCTTGGCTAAAACAAACCAATCCTGGGGAGCTGGTTTGTGCTCTTTTGTGAACCAAGGCAGTGCAGATTTGATTTCTAAAGGCATAACCCAGAAGAATCACTGTACCTTAGTGGAATGAAGAGAATTCCATTGATAATGTTCAGCTGCTCCAGGACACTGGCCATACTGGGAGCTGTGAACTACATCACAAGGGAAAAGAAGTTTTAGGAACCTAGAGAGCACACTGAACTGCTAAACATGTCTCTTTACCAACAGTTGAGAAAACGGCATCATTTACATTATCACCTCTGTGTACCTGTAAGCCTGAAAGCACCATCTAGAGCTTCCCACCAGTCCCTGCAGGGAGCTCCGGCTGAACCCTGCAGGACTTCAGTTAAATACATCACAGTGCCAGTTCCAAAATGTGTTGGGTTTTCTACCCTTCTTTAAGTATTTTAACAAGGGTAAACCCTTTAGTGATGTTTTTATGGGTTTGAGCCTCTTCACTGGCCACAAATCCCTGGACTTTTGATTCAAGGTCCTTGTTCTCCCTTCACTGCCACGAACTCCCCAGGTCTGTTGCCAGTTCTCCACAGGGAGAACACCCACACACAGAGCATTGTCCCACTCTGTCCTCCCTGCAGCTGGAACCTTCTTTCCCAGTCTGCTGGGGTACAGCCTGGCAGGGAGAGCACCCATGGCACAGGCCAGGTACTCTGCCAGGTCTGGAGGCAGGCAGGAGCAGCTGGGTTTGGCCCAGGAAGGTTAGTCATTGGTGCTCCATGTAAGGTAAACCTGACAGCCCCTCTGTGCTCCCTGCCCAGCCTCCCCAACCACAACATCCCTGGAAGGAGAACAAAGCATCTGGTAAAAGATGACAGCATTTTTGAGGATGAGGAAACTGAAGTTTTTCTGGGTTGAGCAACCTGCTGCCTGGCAGTGAGTCAGAGCAGGGCAGGGTTGTGGGCAGGCGTGCCAGGCTCTCAGCCCAGGAGCTGTCCCTGCACCCTGCAATGCTGTGCTCCATCCACACAGGTGACACCAGCCTGTGTCTGAGCCACTGCCCTAGCAAGGGACAACTGCCACCCCCTCCTGACAGTCGGTGTCCCTCGGGAGCAGCTGGACACAACTCCATCTGGCAGAGCACCATCCCCAGAGCTCTGGGTTACCTTCAGGGGCATGATGTTGGCATTGGAGCCGTTCTTGTAGATCTCGTTCATTGTGCGCTGCAGAGCGACCGCTTGCTGTGTCAGGTATTTCAAGTACTCAGAGCTCTCTTTGGTCTTTTCATGGTGTTCACCGAGCTGATGGGAAACAGGAACAAAGAAAAGGTTCAACATCACAAGGGAGAGCAGGACCCAGCCCAGGGAACACACCTGGGTGCTGCCAGCTCAGCATCCCTACAGGAACTCAGCAAAATGGATTTTACCTGCCTTGGCATTCAAAAAGTAAAACAGTTCCTCTGGGAACCTTCTTATCAACACTTCACGTTTTCATCAAGTGGGAGCATATTTGCTGGGTGAGCAGCATTCCCTGCACTGGGCTCTTCTTCCAGGAGCAGTATCCCCCCACCTGGACCAGTATTCCAGCATTCCCCACACTGGGCTGTGCCCTCAGCCAGCTCAGCTGAGTCACCCCGTGCAGCCACAGACGTGCTCAGACAGCCCCAGGCTGGGGCAGGAGTTTCACTGAGCAGCAGCCTGGGAGCTCAGCAGCTGAGAGCTCACTACCAAACCAGTTTGGAGCTGGTATTTAAAGACTAGTGGCACAAAACATGAGAAGAGACTGGTTTTTTCCAAGCCCCACCAGAACGTGGGGCCATGCCACAGGAGAAGTGTTTGTCCAGCCATGAGTAGAGCGTGGACACATTTGCAGGAAGCTGAGCAAAGACTCCTGGCATAGCAGTGAGCAGTTACTGCACAGGGCAGCAATTCTGCCCTGGCCCTACAAGCGCTCCCTGGCATCTGCTCAGAGCTGTTTGTAGGAAAGGCCTCCCCAAGGCCCAGGCTGGGCACTGGTTTGCAGCGGAACTGCTCAACTCTGGCCCTGCAGTGACAGCTCCCCAGTGCACAGTGGGGCCACTCATCACCTGATTCTTGTAGATGGTGTAGCCTTCTTTCTCGTGCTGCAGAGCCGACCGGAACTCTGCTTTGCTCTCGTACACTCGGGCAACCAGGTGGTGGCTGAGGGAAGGAAAAGAGCCGAGTCACTTCTCTGAAGAAAAAAACATTTCTGTGCTGCAGTGAGTGTGACTATGCCATCAGTGTCTGGGCTGAAAGTCTTAACACAGGTGTCAAAGGAGACTGAATGCATCACCCTGGGAGTTACTTCTTCCCAGCCCAGCTGAGGATTCAAATACTACACTAATTAGGCTGGATTTTAGCTGGAATGCTGAGAAGTGACCTACAGAGGTAGACTGAGCTGGGCATCTTCAGCTTTCCTGGGTGCAGGACAGAAGGCCACAACAGTGAACTGAAGGGAGAGGCAGATCCATGGGAATACCTTGGGGCTGGATTTATTAACTGGAGAGGAAGGCTGCAGCCCTCAGGCAGAGCCAGGCCTGAGTCCTCTGGGCTCTTGCCAGCTGGGAGAGCTGACTTGGCTTGGACTGTTGGCCTTAGTGCTTCTGGAACGAAAAAGAAATTGCTGGGTTTGGCAGTGTTTCTCTGTGGGAGGAGACGGGTCTCTCTAAGCACCTCAGTGCCACTGAGGGACAGCTGAAGAGTCTCTGGAGCCTGCACATTCATCAGCCACTGGAAAACAAGGCAGGCTCTTGCAGGTGTTTAATCAGGTTGATTTGCAGCCTGATGGAGAACAGATGGCTGCAATGTGGCAGCAAGAACTGGGAGTGGGCCATGCCTGGCTGACAGAACCAGTTCTGCACTGAAGGACAGAGGGCATCCAGCACTGCAGCAGTGGGCACTGGGAGCAGATCCTACAGGGGTCACCAGTCCCAGCTCCCTTGGGATCACACAGAAACCACTCAGGGTTTTTATTCAAATACAGAACTTTATGGCAAAAGACAAAAGCACGTTAAATGATTCTCAAAGATCCCTCCCTGAGGGCTGGAACAATTAAACACGAGCATTTAACATACTGTCCCTGTCTCCTAGTGTAATTCCCTTACCGGCTCTCCAACCTTTACTTCCCACATACATTTTTCTATTGAGAGTCCACAGGGACCAGGCTTATCTTGACAGAGTTTTTGAGCAAGCAGCATCACAGCAGATCTCCCCATTAACCTTAAGAACAATGGATCTCCATCTTTTGAAATAAACTTGGATAGTGCACCATGACCTTGGCTCTGGGACAAGACTGAATATGCAGCTCTCAAGCCCAGACCCTCCCATGTGAGTGCTCAGTGAGTGTGCTCGCTCTGACAGCAGTGACCCAGCCCAGCACCCCACCCTGCCTCACCTCAGTGCAACCTTCAGAGACTTGGAGCCGTGGTACTTGGAGCTGATGGCCAAGGCGTTCTCCAGGAACCGCAGGGACAGGTCGTACTCCATGACCCCATGGAGCACCAGGCCAATGTTGTTCTGTACAGAGAACCAAGCAGGCGTTGGGAAAGACACACTGACACGGCAGTTCCTGCTCTGTGTGTCACTGCCAGAGGGGCTGTGACCCTGGCCAGTCCCTGCAGCAGCAACACGGGACAGGGACCATCATCCCCCATGGCCCCAACAACCCAGGCACAAGGGAGGTAACAGACTCTCCGGTTTATGCCGGTGCAACAAGAACACAATAAACAAAGGAGTTTTCCCAAGAATTACATGTCTCAAAACCATCTGCAGTATCCCAGTGCAGAGCTCAGCACAGAGGCTCACCCTCCCAGCTAAAGTGTCAAACTCCTTTTTTCCTTCGTCTCATGGCACCAACCAGCAACAGCCAGGGAGGAAAAGCACTGCCTAAATGTTTGCTTTAAACAGCCATCATGTGGGCATCTTAAAGGCCAAGAGATTTCGCAGAGATTAGGAACTTGAAGATTCCTAAACAAATTACTTACATCTAAGAGTGCCATTTCTGGGTGATCCTCCCCAAATACCAACAGCATGAGGTAGCGTGCACGGTACAGCAGGTTCAGTGCTGTGGAGAGTTGGCTGTTTGCAAAGCAGTACAGGGCCAGATGCATCTAGGACAAGAGAAGGCACCCAGCATTAATGTAAAGGAAACTAATCTCTCCACGCCTTTCCTTAGCTGCACATGAATACGAAGTCTTCCTCACTGGTTGAAGAAGGACTTCAGTCACTTTGAAATGATGCACAGTCCCACTGAGGTGTTCCTGAGGACACAGCACTGAGGAAGCTGTGTGTTTTATTTCAGTTTCTCTTAACACCCCTCGCAAAATACTTCTAACCTGACTTATATATGTATGTCATATTCTGACTGTGTTTTGGAGGGGATTCTTTCCTCTTTTAATTTTTGACATAGCCCAGGGCCGAAGCCAGGAGAATTAATATATCTAAATAAATATGCAGCAGACAAACAGTAGAAACCTAGGTTAAGCAGGACAAATGGTGAGCACACAGGACACACTCAGCTTTTCACTTTGCAGGATCATAAAAGATGATGAAGTGGAGAATTCTGGAAAGAAAGCTGCAGAAGAGAGGAAAATGCAACTGCTTTCCAGCTGCAGACATGAACTAAGGCTCTCAGACTGCAGCCAGACCCCTGAGGTGCTGCTGCTCCCGAGCTCCCCATACTCACATATTCTTGGATGGTGTTGGGGTGTTCGATGCCCAGGACCCTCTCACTCATTAGCACCGCTTTCTGCTGATTGCTTAAGGCCTGAACAGAACAGAAGAGAACCCAGGGCAAGTCACACCACGCTGTGAGCTTGAGCAAGCATGGGGAAGGACTGAGAGCACTGAGGAGATCCCCTCAGAGCCCCTGCTTACCTCTGAGTAATCTCCCATGATATAGTTGAGCCGAGCTAGCAGCCTCAGGCAGGCACAGATTTCCACATGCATAGCACCATACACATTGTTGAACAGGTTTAAGGCTTCATTGATGAGCTCACAGCCCTCCTTCAAGAAACCTGAAAAGAAAGTATATCCATATGTATGTACATATAAAAGAACCTCTAGCTCTGCTGGAGACAGGAAGTGAGACCAACAGTGGGATACACAGACACAGGTGACTGCCCTGAGGGCAGGATATCACTGCCCTGACCCATCCCTGCTCATTGCTGGTGGATTTATAGCAGGAGGGGATCTTGGACACCAGGCTTGGCAGCAGTGTCCTGGTGGCCATGCCCCAAATACCCTGCTCTTCCCATTATCAGGGATCATCATGAGAGGCAGAGGCACATGGGGTCTGTACCTTGCTGAACTTTTGCTTGCCCGCTCTGGAAGAAGTGGAAAGCATCAGAGGCTTTGGGGTTTACATGCTTCACTACAGGGAAGATGTTAAGAATATCCTCTTCTGTGAAAGTGGGCTTGTGCCTGTTGTCGAAGTTGTACTCCTTCAGCAGGATCTGCAGGGACCAAAAAGAGTGGAGGGCACAGTTACCACTGCCATAGGCACTTGGCGAGAAAAGGGGCAAAATTCTGAATGTGGAATCACAGTCAAAACATCTCCTGTACCACGACCTGGGACAGAAGTCTCCAAGGTCAGATGTAGGTGTGCACCACCACCTGTACATGGCAAAATGGCACCACGGTGACAACACTGAACCCGTGACAGGAGAGCTCTTCCAGCTGTTGTCCCACAGCCCACAGAGGAGTGAGAAGGCAGTGCAATTATACTGAGGCTAGCTGTTCTTCCAAGGGACATGCTAGCAAGTTTATTACTCCAAGAGTGAACGGGATCAGAAACCTGTTTCTCAGAGCTGGGACCTGTATTCCAACATGGACACCACAAAGACCCTTTGGGGCTTGTGCTGTGCCTGCAAAACACACTGCATTTACTCTTCATGTTCCTCCATACAGGACATGATAGCAAGGGAGGGAGGATGTGGATCTTACCTGGACTCCAGTTTTGAGGGAGATTTCACGGAGCAGGGTGATTTTCTGTAGATTATACACTTCAGCTGCTTGGTCAGCATTCTCACTGCAGAAAGTACACACAAGCTTCAGCTCTCAGGGGAGTTTCTGCTCAAGGCCATTGCTCCATTGTGGGTATGTGAGGCGCAGGTCCCTGTACAGCCAGGTCTAACACAAACCAAGGACTAACACTGCAGAGTTTGCCCACAGTCTGTGAAAGCCTCCAGAGCACAGCAGTGCTTTTACAGAAATCCTGTGTGTGTTCTCAAAGCCCACTGCAGTGTTTGGGCTGAGTACCTTCAGCTCTTGGTGAGGAGCGAGCAGTCCCTGTGCGAGGGGACGATCATTGTCCAAGTGCCAAAAGTTGGTTTTTCTCTTGGGCCACTTCATTGAGAGTGCTAAACTGGAAGCACCAACGTGCCCCTTCCTTATTCGCCATCTCTGCTCATGTACAGGAGCAGTTGTCCTTTTTTCTGGAGCCGAAGCTCCCTTCAGCCTAAATCACTGTTGATATAGACAAGTATCTTCTGACTATATTACTTCTGCTCCCTTATGTACCCTTACATACATCTTCTGCTTTTCATGGCTGCCTTTGCATCATAGGTTTCATCTGATTCAAAGTCTCACTTCCCCATTCCTACTCTTTGCCCAATTTCTTTCCATTAAAGATCTGTTTAAGTCCCTCAAGTGACTTAACTTTATGCAAACAGAAAACAAATAAAAAAGGGAGGTCCTGTTAATGAACAAGAGGTACAGAAGTTTGGTGAATCCAGGGACAAGCCAGGGTCACCTGCTCCACTTACCATTCAAGACTGAAATCAAAATAGTTCTTTGCTTCTGAACAAATATTCTTCCATAGCTCCTGAGGGGTCATGCTTGCCCAGGCAGTGTTATCAGCATTGCCAAGGTTCCTGTTTTTCCGTTTCTTGTTCCTCTTCTTGGAGACCAGCTCATCAGCTGGAAGATGGGCAATGGGATTTGGGAAGGAGCTCAGAAAACAATTCAGGAAGTGACTGATGGCAGCAGATAAACCTGACAGCTCCACACCCTACAGGGAAACACCAGAGTCAGTCAGGAGAGACATCTGCCATCCCACAGCACTGCTCCAGCCCCGAGCCCCACACACACCCAGTCCTACACAAACAGGGCCACCTTCCACGACAGGGACAGGAAGGCAGCATGTCCAAGTGGCACTAGCACAGACAACGTAGGATTAAGGGTGTGCCTACACACAGAAATGCAGTGCAGGCATACACACTTCGGGCTGCTACCTGGGACAGAGAAGGTTTTGGCACTGGAACCAAGCCAGGTGTATTGCTAGGTTGTGTGTGAATACAGCCTACCAGGATATGTAGTGTTGAGTCAATTAAAAAGGCTTCTTAGAAGGGCAAAAGCAACACTGTTTAGGAGGAAAAAGTACTACAAGGAAAACAAGCTGTGATTTCACTTTTAAAAGCCTCCAACATAATGAGTGAGGATCTGCGGAGGAAAAGCATGAATGACTGCTCTCCGGGAAAGCTTTCTTCAAGTGGGAACTTGTTTTCCCTTACATACAGGCCTGTACCTATTTCAGTGCTAATGAGCTTGTACTTCTCGTTGCCATGCAACCCCAGGAACTGCCTAATGAGAGGAGAACCCCAAACAGCTCTGTTTGTGGAAAAAAGTCATTAGGGAGGACACGGGAGGCAAGAGGTGAGATTGCAGGTCATACCTGGAGGTACGTCTTGAAGATGTGTTTGGCTGATCGAGTGATCAATTCACTGATTCCAATTTTCTACCCAAAGGAATAAAGAACAGAGTGAGTGCATTGGCAAGAATATGGAAAAATACACTGGGCTTTTGAAATGGTCTTTTAGCAAGATCTGCAGAAGATACACCATTCTCCCTGCAGCACAGAACTGCAAAAGCATTTGACAGCCCTCCTGGAGGCCAGTGAGGAGCCCCTGGCACCTCTGTGCCCACAAGCCACGGGTGCAGCTCAGCACAGCTCCAGCAGTGCTTCAGGGGCTGCCACAGCACAGCCCCTGCCTGCTCCTGGGCAGCCACACTCACAACACTTCAGAGTTTGATCCAAAGCTCAGATGTGTCTTAGAGGCTTAAAAAATACATGGCTGAAAATCCAACTGTGTTACTCACTATTACATTTGGGAATCCCTGAAGCAATTCTCTACCCCAAAAGATACTTACAGTTCCTATCACTATGAAATCCATTAAGGATTTGGAAAAAAACCTCCCCAACCACCACTTACAGGTCCTCCTCCCTCCTCCCCTGTTGTTGAAGCTGTTTATTTTTACAGAGAGAGAACAACTGGCCAAGTGGGAATCTCCTTGGGACAAATGATGCCAGAGTGGTTTGAACTGTCTGATGTTAAGCCTGATGCTTACAAAGATGTGATCCAGCTGTGCATGGCCAGGGGTCTTGGTGATGAAGTTGATCACCTTGCCCAGGTAACGCATGTTGATGCCCCTCTGGTGCATGGCCTCAGCCAAGGTGGCCCCATCCATGGGGAGCACCGTGTGATCCAGGCAGTCCTTCACCTGCAGGGTGCATACAGACTTTGGTTACTGAGGACAAACACAAAGGAAAGAACTTCCATTTAAAAAAATATTTTAAAAAACCCACACCAAGAGGCAGGACAGGCATTCCCCAATGCTACTTCATACACCTCTTTACCTGGGGCTGAGGGTTGCCCTGAAAGGAGGCCCTGACCCCAAACAAGACTCTTTTGGTGAGTAACACCTGCTGTAACACCAGGACCACGGTGGTAACACAGGCAGGGGGGACACCTGCAGCAGCCAGCCCAGTCTGGGCCAGGTCCTTGCCACTGGGGCCAGTTTCACTCCTCTGTCTCAGCAGGGAAGGAGCAGCACTACACTCTCTCAGAGGCAGAGGCAAAACAACTCCTACCTGTGCAACTAGCAGGCTGACCCTTCTTTAAGGGCCTCACAGTCACTAACTGCCATTTCCAGTTAAGAGTCCGTGGAGCTGTGCACACATAGCCGATAAGGACAAATGGCACTTGCATGTTAAGTTGTGCTGCAGTGCTGATAAACAGTTGTTTAAGTCATGGAGCAACACCAGCTCCTCTCTGATATGCACAGGACTACCTGCTACAGCAGCTGGTCTGCAGCCTGCTCTCACGCAGGCCTGTGCAGTGTTTTGGGTTTATATACTGGAGTATCAACTACCTTGTAATCAACAATCACCAAGCCCTTTTCTGACTCACTCACCTCCTTTTTGTTTAAAGACTGAATAGCTGGTTCTGAAGGCTGGGCTGACTACAGAATTAGTGGATTTAGAGTTCAGAAGAAACTTTCCAACAAAGAAAACCCTCTTGTAACACAAGACCAACAACTCCTGGACCTCTTGGAGTAGAGCTCATGAATTCTCCCCTGCCAGTTCCAGTGCCTGCTCTGACAGCTGCATAAGCCATCAATTCAGCAAGCATCCCAGGGAGGGAGAAACTGGGACTTCTTATGTGGCCAGGTGCATGGATAATGTCCAAAATGCTTAAGACTTACAGAAGGAGTTTTTAATGACTGCTATTAATTAAAACAATTTCCCAGTTCACTTCAAATTTAGTCACTGACTGAGTCACAGCCAGGGTCAGCTAAAACAATAAGCTGTGAAGGATGCCCAGGGCTAGGGAGGATGGCTTATGTGGTCTCTATTGTCCCAAACTCTTAGCAATAGCTTTAATTGCCAGTGCCAAATTTTTTTTGTTGGACTGAGGTGAGAAAATCGTGCCATGATGTAAGATGGGCAAAGGAAAACCCCTCGTGCCTTGCACGCAATGCTCACGCTGTTCCCGGTGGTCCCCCAGCAGTGCCAGAGCCTGCAGCTGCTCAGGCAAAGCTGCTGTCCCAGCGGACACCAGCTCGCTCAGAGCAGCCAAGCTCTGAGGGCAGCATCACTGCTGGCTCTGGGTCCTTACCAAGCCTGGGATCTGGCAGGACAGCAGGAACGCAGCAGCGTCCTTCAGCAGCTGCTTCTGATCCTGCACCTCCTCTCTGCTCGACTCCGGGAAGCGAACACCTGGGAGAGGACAAGAGAAAACATCAACCACAGCAACTCACAGAAACCTAACTGTCTCCCTGGAATGCTGGATGCTTCAAAAACTTATCTCAAACTATAAACGTTTTGATGGGAAGAGCATTGGCTGCTGTGTTCAGGCAGTGGCTGGGCTGCTCAAACTCAATGGTTTGGCCATTCTCCTGCAATGTGCCTGCTCACTGCCGCAGTATTCACCCCAGGAAGCACTCTGGGAGCTTCTCAGTTTCCCAATAAAAAATATGGCTCCGAGTAATGGAAATTCATGCCTGTGCCTGATGTGTGCATGTAAAAGGGCACTGTGACTGCTCACTGAAATGTTACTAAAACAAACCCAGCCCTTCACTGAGGTCCTAACATCAGTCGTTCAACTACAAGTGTTATTTTTTGTGTAAACTACTACATGGGGATCAAATTTCATTTTTTCCCTCCCTCTGCTTCTTTTCACGTGGTCTCACAGCTGGGATGCTGGAGAATCACAGGAGGATTCTTGGCACAACCCAGAGCCCTCCCCCGAGGGTGGGAGACGCTCCCCTTGGCTGCCCTTGGCAGCTCCAGCACTGCAATCCATTGCTGCTTCCTCTCCTCTGCATCTCCGGGCTCCACAGAGGGCCCTGCACCTGCCCAGCCTAACAAAACCAGCAGCAGTCTTGGCTACAGCACAGTGTTTATCTGCAGCTGGCTGCACACAGCCACCCTCCGAAGGGCTGGTCCCAGCTCTGGGTACACGTACCTGGTGAGAAAATATCTGGGTTAAACCGAATATCAAATGATGTGTCACTAATGGAGCCTACAGCCTTGCAAGCATTCCGAATCACTTCTCTGCTTTTGGGATCCACTGGAGCGGGAAAAAAACAGAATACAAATGAATGTGGAGTTCAGGAAATGGCAGGCCTAGCTAATAAATTAAGTTTTGTTACTAAAAACAGCAATGATGGCACATTCTAAAGAAACCCATTATAAAAACAATCAATTGTAAAGGAGAATGGCTGAAAAGTCTGAATAAGGGAACATAAGATGACCCAAAAACCCCATGGATATCCCTACCTCCCAGCACATGCACTCAGAAATCCAAGCCTGGGGTTCCCAAAGGTGCACTGCTGGCCTCCTGCTTGGCCCCAGCCCTGCCCTGCACTCCACAGGCCAGCCTGGCTGGGCTCTTGCTCCCAGGGAAGAGCTGAGGGGCTGGTGGCCTTGCTGGGTTCAGACACCTCAGTCCCCCTGCCTGCAGGGGTGAGTCATTCATCAGGGTGTGAGCAGCTCTAACAGAGAGGCCAGGCAACACTGACGGGCAGCCAGTGCTCGTCCTGTTTAACCACCACCAGTCACCCCAACTCCCAGCCTGGCGCGGCTCCCACCAGTGCCAGCCCAGCAGGGGCTGCTGCTGAGGATGAAGTACCTGTTCCATCCCCACCAGTGCCAGCCCAGCAGGGGCTGCTGCTGAGGATGAAGTACCTGTTCCATCCCCACCAGTGCCAGCCCAGCAGGGGCTGCTGCTGAGGATGAAGTACCTGTTCCATTCCCACCAGTGCCAGCCCAGCAGGGGCTGCTGCTGAGGATGAAGTACCTGTTCCGTCGTCGGACGCGATGGTCTCCGCCAGCTCCTTCACCTGATCCAGCCCAGTCACGCTGTCCTCCGTTTTCCCATCCTCTGACTCGGGCCTCTCGCTGTCTGCGGCACCATTCTCTGCAGAGGCTCCATTTTCCAGCGCAGCTGAGCTCTCCTGCTTGTTGGCTTTCTGCTGCATCAGCTGCAGTGCAGCCAGCTTCATGAATAAGAGATACCTGCAGCAAAGGGAAAGGGCAGTTCAGCCCAGCAGAATCCCAGAGCACCACACGTCTGGAACTTGTCCCACTCCCTGAGCTCCCCTGCCTTGCCAGCAGCAAGTGACCCAAACATCCCACCACAAACACACCTACAGCAGCGCCCACAGGATTTTTTCCAGCCTCTAGAAACAAACATAACTTTCAGGACATTGGGAAAGCCTTAAAAAGCAGCATAAATCCTTCCCGTTCCCTAGCCTTCAAGTGGAAAGGACACCTGCAGGGAAAGAACTTCTAGGTGTTTGGACAGGAATCAACAACAATAGATCTGGACACTAAAACACAAACCATCTCTTTCCCTGGCTCCCTGTCCTAATCCCTACTGTTCTCACCTCTTGTTAATTAAGTTCCTATAACTGCATTTACATAGCCAAGCCATAGGGCAATTAGCTGCTCACTTCTGGGAGCTCTGTTGGGATGCTCCCAGGACAGTGCAGCAAGGTCCTGACTTGAACCATGACCAGATGCATGTGGAGAAAAGGAGAAGCTCTGCTCACCTGTGTTCTACAAAGGCATCAACAAGCTCTTGACGAAGACAGCAAAGCTTGTGTCTGTGCTGCTTGGGGAACCCCATTTTCTTACATTCCTCTGGCATCTCCTCCCCTTCAACAGGCAGGAAGTTTAGATCTGGAGGGAAAGTGCGTAGCAGGTCCAGGATGTAGTGACGCCCATCGTTGCCAATAATGCCTTTGCACTCTACTGAGGAGCACAGCTCCACCTCCTCATTCTTGTCGTTGAGAACTTTGTGCTTCTGGATCTTCAGCGGCCTGCTGGTCTTCTCCAGCAGCTCCAGGTACTTGGGGTGCGACACAACTGTCTTGCCAAAGTCTATTGACCCATAGATGACACTCTGTTCCTGCTCCCGCTCCAAGATGCCAGGGATAATAGACTGAGCCGTCACCCTGTAACCTCTGTAATCCACCACGACAGTCCCCAGCGTGTACAGCCCTTCCACATCCACAGCGTTGTAGGTCCGCACACCGTTGAGATCATTGGTGGGAGCCACGTAAGCAGCAACGTCTCCACCAAAGTCCTTGTAGTGGTCACGGACGTCAAAGCCCAGGCTGAAGAAAATGTTGTTCCAGATGAACATCTGCATCTTGGTCTCCTCGCTGGGGTTGATGGCCATGACATTGCCATCAATGACAGCCATAGCACCTCGTGTTGCTGCTGCAGTGAAGTCACTGTGAACCTGGAGGCACGTGGAGAGAAAGCGGGGTCAGGATGGGCCCCCATGCTCTGAAAGCTCCCTGCAAATTTTTCCTGTGCTCCTCTCCTCCCAACAGCCTTTCAGCAGGCAGGCGGGTCACGGCTTTTACTGCTGTGAGCTGGCTAGTGACTTCAATACAAGTCCCAGGAGCCAGAACACAGGCAGCAAAGAAGGGGCTGTGTGAGGGGCTGCCTGCATATCCTGAAGTTACCTTGAAAATGGCTCGTTCTCTCAGCAGCCTCTCAGGCAGGTTCTTGCGTGGCAGCTCCCGTGTGGTCTGCAGCTCCTCATTCCAGTCTCTAGTCTGAAAGAGGGAGGCAAAGCCTTGTGGGATGCAATGCATTGTGTGGGAAGGGGCTGGCGAGGCAGCATTCCTGCTTCACAAGGCATTTTGGGAGAGAAGGGAGAGGAAGGGGCAAGAATTCAGGCTGCTGTGGGGCTCAGAGGAAGTGACTTAGCAGCAGGAATGAACACACCTTGAGAGGGGACTTTATTCACCAGCAGCTTGGGACAGATCTTGCATCAGCCCAGCCAGTGCAGGGGCACTGAAGGGGCAGCACGGTGCAGGTGTCATTAGCCAGTGCTGTGGGCACACTGCAGGCACGTGCTGCCCACGGCTGGCTACTGCTGCCCTGCAGCCCTTTGTGCTAGAAAGCTGCAGCTGAAGCATTTGGAGCCGTCTGCTCAGAGACACAAGAGCCATTCCAGGCCTGACTGGCACGAGGGAGTGGTCTGCCTCCTGTGCAGTGGCACTCTTCAGAGAAGGGACATGGAATTTATAAACACCCGAGCAGGAGCTGCTCCTCTCAGTCACTTCTGTGCTCATGGACCTGCAGCCTGAGCAGCACAGCCCCTGTAGTCAAGGGCCCTGTGAAGAACAAGGACTCCTGCAAGTTTTCCTTGGATGATCAAACCCCCCCCACAAATAACAGAGGTTACTTTCGGGAAGTTAACTTGTTCCTGGCAGAGCTGGCAGCAGAAGTCTTGCCAGTGTCATCAGGCAAAGCAAGAGCAGTACCTGTCCAGGTATGTGCTCCTCGTAGCCCAGCCTGGAGGTGTAGGCGTCCTCTGCCCGGACACAGTCCATGGCGTGCTCTGCCTGTGGGGCCGTCCAGCTGTACACTTGGAAAGGAGTGGCTATCCTCTCAAAGGGGTGTCTCTGAACCCTAGTTTGGGACAAACAACAATTACATTTATAAAGGAGGAATCCTTTCTATTCCAAGAGAATTTTCCCTGTGCTTTCACACTGGTCCCTACAGGTCACGATGCAACAGCAGCGCGCAGTGGAAACCCAAGTACCGCCGAAGGTCTCCCGTGTAATCTGGTGCTCTCAGCAGGGGCTGGGGCTCATCTGTAGCTACTTCTGGCCCAAGAGGCAACACAGTACAGCCATTTTTAAATGGCCAGATAGTCACAGTGGTGGCTGGAGGCCACTGCTAATTTCAGCCCTCATCTAGTGTCACTTTCATCTCCTTAATGAAGCAGAAGCAGAGCTCCCAAACGCCACACAATGTGCCTATCAATCCACACCCTGCTGAGCCGAGGCAGTTCATTAAGTGACTCTGAAGAATGACAGGCTTTTGCACAGGACCCACTGTCCTGGAGCAGAACAAATGGTCCCTGCAGCAAGGACAGGAGAACTAAACAATGCCTTGTTGTTGTGTTATTATTATAGGAGCCAGAGGAAATTACAGAATATTAACATGCACAGAACATGTTTAAAATAACCAACCTCTTGCCACCGTAAGCCTATACAAAGCCCTCTTGTGTTACTTTCGCTGATATTTATGCTTCAGTCTCTTTTGTGGATCAGAGAGATCCTCAAAGTGCTGCCCTGTTGTTCAGTCAGGTGCTCTGGTCCTTGCAGCTTCCACTGACGTGTCCCAACCACCCACCACTACATGAGCTCAGAGAAGCAGGCACTGCAATCCCTGCTGCACCGGTGGCATCCAGCTCCCCAGAACCAGCTGAGCCTCCCCAACTTCACCCTGGGCTGAAGAAGAAGCACTGCTACCGTTTCTTCTGCAGAGCAGAGAAGTTTTTTTTGAAGGTAGGGCTGATCTGGTTAAGTAGTTCCACCAAGGAATGACTGAGAAAACTAGGGTTTGCAGGTTTGGGATTGAAGTTGTATGCAGTAGACCTGCAAGAGAAAAAAAAAGAAACAGTCATACCTGAAACCTTCCACACTCTAGGAACGTGGAACATGACTGAGAGCTCTTCATGCATGCACAGTATCAAAGGCTGCACCCTGTGCCCTTGCCTGTGGGACAGAGACCATGGGGCAAAGAGGCAAATGGGCAGCAAGGACCTTATCCAGTCTCCCACAGCCAGTAACCCTGTACCTGTCCCTGATGGTCTTTTGATTTAGACCTTTTTCAGCCATTCCCAGGATCAAGAGAGGCTTCTATTTTTATAGCTGGGAAGGACTGATTTCACAGAACTTCCTGAACACACCAAAGGTGCCTTTGTTTAACAGAGAAACCCCTCAGCACAGCTGCTCCAACAGGCACAGCCACAACAGCTCTCACAGTTACCATTAGAAAAACAAAAAAAGAAATTATTTGTAGTCAAATCTGCACCCAGCTCAGGGAGTTCTGACAGGCTGTGCTTTTGCTTCAGGGCAAAATGAGATAGTTGCAATAGTCAGGAAGGAATTTCCTCCCAACTCAAAATGCTCTAAATAGCTGATGACATTATGGGATGTTTAAACTTTCCCTAAAGCACCAGGCATTTAGCCACTGTGGAGAAGTGGTACCAGGCATAACTGAACAGCCCAATCCAGTATAGCAACTCCCACAAACCCATGTGAGCAGCAAATTAAAATAGGCTGTTTCTGGCACAGGAAAAAAAAAGGCTGCAACTGTTTGTTTATGAGTTGTTTTCCAGCTGGCTGCTGCAGGGCAGGACAGGAAGAACGTCAGTTACTCACTGATTCAGATAGAATCCCCGCGTGGAGGCAGTGATGCTGACGTGCCGATCCTCCACCGTGATCACGTACAGGTACATGAGGTCGCCGTGCATCTTGCGGTTCCCGGGCGGAGGGTTCCAGCCGCTCATCGTCAGCACCTTCAGGCACTGCAAAGGCTACGGCAGAACACAACACAAGCAACTCCTGTCAGCAGGAATTCATTTCTTTGAGTTAGAGGCACTCAGTGAACACGCCAGATCCCTTTTACCTGCTGCCCTTGCTCGATTCCAGAAACAGAGCTCACAAACACACCTGGTATCCCAAGCACAGCTTCCTGAGCCCTCTGCAGTCCACCAGTTTGCCTTTCACACCACGAGACATGGGTGAAAGCAGACACCCTGGGCCTTTGGGCTGCACAGGGTATGGATTTCTTGCTGTACTTGTTTTCAAATGGCAGCTTCTAAACCAGAATCCGAGTGGGAGGGCATGGGAAAGCTAAGAGCAATCTGTAGTGACCTGCAGATCCTGTCTCCAGGACTTTGCAGAGGAATGCTGCTTTCCCTTCTCTGCCACCCATCCCAGCAAGCCTGGCCCTTCCACACTCTGCAGATGTCCAGACTCCATGTCCAGTGTTTTGCACACCAGCTCCTGGACTTTATTCTTTTGGCTAAGCAGTGCTATCCCAGCACTTGTTAAGCACCAAGCAGAGCAAATCCCAAAGTCCACTTCAGCTCAGCTTTCAATCCCTGACCACCAGTTTGCTGTGAGGAATGTGCCAGTAGCTGCTTGACACAGGAAAACTCTACCTTCCAGTCTCTGTTCTGGGGCTGAAGGGCACACAGGGGCCTCTCTTTGCTACCTGGCAGGATATGTTCAGGAGGGGTGCAGTCAATTTGTTCCATTTCGGTACCTTTCTTCTTCCTTTTTCCACTGTCTAGAACAGACAGAGACACAAAGTCAGTTCTGAAAAGCGTACAGTCCCTCCCCCAGTCATCATTCCAAGAGGGATGCAGAAGTACTCCAAGTATTCTCTGCACTCCTAAATGACACAGGACGGCCGATTGTTACTGCGTGTTTAACTAAGCCAGGAGTCAGGGAATGAAACCACTGACCACACCAGAGAAGTCTTTTTGACCCATACCTCCCAGGTCTCCTTCAGTGAAGACACTCAGGAAGGACAACGAGTTACAGTCCACACCATTGAAAGCATCTGATGGGTCCAGACTCTTCAGAAGGTCCCGAATGTGGCGCACGTGTATCCTGGCTTCTCGCACCGTGTACGGCTCTGACAACCAAAAAGTGAGGAAGGAAACTGGGATTAGACAGTTGCTTACTCCTTTGGCACACAGATCTCAAAATGGAACCAGAGGAAAGAGCTGACAGGTGGCCAAAATCACTCCCTAAGAAAACCCTCACTCATTGCCTCCCATGTCTGGAAGGAACTTGCCTTCCACCACTTTCAGCAGTGAGCCCTCCTGCAGTCCTTCAATCGTCTTCAGCTCAGCAAAGTTATCCAGGACGTTGCCATCCAGCTGCAGGGAGAAGCAGGTCCGATGGCAGGTATCCTCCCGGTCCATCAAAACTTGATGGATTTCTTGCACCATCTCTTGAGGAGAAACCTTAAGAAGGTAAGAGCACAATTGTTGTTTGCCCTCCCACAGGCTGTTGCCAAACTTTGCCCCTCAGCTGCAATATCAAAAACCTCTCAGACCTCTCCCTCCAGGCTTGGAAAGGCAGACTCTACCCCTCTTTCCAGGAAGATCTCTCCTGCTCCTGCTGGTAGGGCAGTGTCACCTCTGGCAGGGTCAGCCACCTGAGCTCCACCCCACGGGGCTTGGCACCCCGAGATGTAACAGCCGGGCACTGCACCAAGCACTTGGCACGGGACAGAGGCGACAGAGGGCACTGAAGGAGCAGCAGGTGGTGGGGGAAGTGGGGTTCTACCCTTACCCATTCACACCACGTTAGTGGTGAGACCTTGGATGCTGCCCATGGTGAGCTGTGCCAGTGCCACACCTCCACAGGGCTCAGGGGAGGCCAGACCCACCCTGAGCACCAGGGCTGCTCCCCCACCTCCCTGCCCTGCTCCAGCACCACTGACACTGCTGAAAACCCAGAGCACTCGGCTAGTTTACATAAGCTGCTGTAAACAACGAGGCCTGCTATTATTAGCTCATTAAAACTAACAGCCAGGGGGATTTAAAGGAGACAAAAAGCCAGTCTGAGACGCAGCTATTTCCACAGGGGATGGGATTTTGCTGCACTCTCTGCCAGTCTTGGGCAGATAAGAACTTCCCACTGGGTTTAGATTCCATATGCCTCTCCCCAAAATTAAGAGATATACTTCGTTCAGATAGTTTTTGGTGAAGTATCAAGCTAAATGGGACTATGAACCAGGCCTGTCAGAGCTCATCCTGACCTGGCAGCACGTCACTGTCCACATGACATGAGGCAGAGCTCTCCATGCAGAGGGAAGTGGAGACTGCATCATTCCCTTGGTCTTCAGGCTTGAGCTCCCTGAGCTGTGTTAGCACCTGTCACTGTACCAAACCCAGGCTGGCCTGAAGCAGCATCATGTCTTAACTGCTGAGCAAGCAAGGGATTTTCCCTTCCTCACTCAGGCCCAGAAATCACGTTTTCACAACACTGCTTTAGAACAGCCCAGAAGAGGGAAGGCCATTTTCCTTGTGCTCAGCCCCATAGCCGAGCCCCTCTGTGATGGACAAAGAGCAACACCACAGTGAGTGCTCCTTGCCCTTGCTCCACACCTGGGATCCAGAATGAAACACCCTAACCCTGTCCCTGCAATGCCCAGGCAGGCCTGGGCCAGGCAGCCTCTTGCTCACGTCTCTTCTTCCTTCATTTCTCTCAAGGCACTGGCCAGGCAGTCTCCTGCACCCTCCATCCTTTGCTGCCTCCTTCCCCACCCAGCCCTGGTCAGACGACAGACAGGTCAGGGAGCTGTGAGCAGCCTGAAGGTGCTGTGCAGGCTGTGAGGCTGAACAGGGGCCTTGCAGGCACTGCCTCCTTCCCCGCCTGCCCGGCTGAAAGGACCTGGCTCAAATACTGCCCACCTCTGTTCCCTTCCCCAGCTGGCGAGGGCAGGTACCTGCAGGGAAAAGGGCTCTATCCCTGGTGCACAGATCTTGACAGTGAATCCCGTGTCCTGGATGACGATGACCTCCTGGTCGTTCCCATCTTCTCCCGGCTCAGCCTCCTCGTGGCCATTCTGCTTGGCATCCTTGTCGCCCTTGAGGCTGTCATGCGGGCCGCTGCCATTCATCAGTGCCACGCCAGACGGGTGCTCTGGGCAAGGACAGAGGGGTTCAGACAAGGTCCTCTCCACTGGGCTGCAGAGACTGGCCTGGACACTGCAAAGCCCGAGCTAATCAGGGCTAAAAGGCACGGCTTTATTCTGCACTTGCTGTTTACTAGACAGAGGTGTGCCAGGCCCTTCCCTCCCTTTCCTCACCGCATAATGAGGGTGCTCTCACTTGCCTGCGGTGTTTGCATCTTCCACAAACCATGTGCAGAGAGGGGAGGGAAGGAGAGCAGGAAGGATGGGTCAGTGTACACCACACTGAGCTGTCTTAAGCCTCTTAATTAAAAAAAAAAAAAAAGGGTGTGTGGTGCTTTGCGGCCTGGAGGCAGCTGTAACCTCTGCACCAACACGTTAGAGAGCAGAGGGAGAGAGACGCCGGCGGCAGCCCGGTTACTCCACAGGCACACCACAGCTCCCACAGCCCTGCCTGCCTTTGGCCACCCTCTGCATTTCCAAAATACTTCACACAGATCCCATGGTGCCAGGGTGAGGCTTTGCCTAAGCACTTTTATTCAAGAAAATGGTGACAACATTTAGACAGATGCGTCACAGGGCCGGGGAGCTCTCTGCACCCTCCTCACAGCTCTGCAATGCTTTGTTTTCTTTTTCAATAAGCTGGATAGCATCAGAGACCTGATTAGCTCTAAGAAGCTGCCAGTCTCCTAGAGGAGCCTACATCCTCTGAACCAGGCTGGGGACCACACTAAAGAGGACTAAGGGGCAGCCAGGAGAGGTCAGAAGAGTGGAAAGAGCTGCTGATAGCAACTCTGGGAGATGGCAGAGTACCCCTTGCCCCCAGCGTGCCAGGCCGGTGCCCCAAGCACACCACCTCACCCTGCAGACGCAGGCAGTGGGTGCTGAGGAGCAGCTGGCATCGCGTCCCTCAGGCTGCGCTCCCAGCAGGGCTGGCCCAGCACACTCAGCTGCACCCCAAGGTCACACGCAGCAGTGCCAGCTTGGTGCTCTCAGGCACCCACTCGCAGGCAGCACAGATGGAGCAGGTGGGGTGCTTTCCCAGGCAGCAGAAACAGCCTTTCCAAAGGGCTGCACAGGGCTAATGCCTCGAGGCTGCAGCCCTGCAGCCAGCTCCATCTGGCAGGTGTCGCTCCTCACGCTCACCTCCTGCAAGGCACCAGTCCCCACCCCAGGGGAAGCGGCTGCTCAGCCTCCCTCACCTCATAGACTGGTGCTGTGGCTTGAGCACCTACAGCTCTCACAGCCAGTTCTTCTCCAGCAGCCCCAGCTGCTCCTGCAGCCCAGAGAAGGCATCCAGCCTTCACAATAACCCAAAAAGGGACGGCAACACCATTCCCCCCTGCACACCTCTGGAGCACAACATGAGGCTGCAGCAACAAGCCCTGCAAAAGCACCCACGGAGGGCCACGTCCCTGCCCCAGACAACGACTGCCAACAGCAAGTCCTCAGAGATGACTGTCAGGGCTGACTTGGGACACAGTGAAAGGGCAAAAATGCAATGAGAGCACACCCATTCTGAAGGCAGCAGGTAGCAGAGCTACCTCAGGCAGCCTCGGCTGCCTTCAGCAGCTCAGCAGCTGCTGCTCATGGTCCCTGTCACTGTGCATATGTCCCCAGCACTCACTGCTCATTTCTTTGACAGATGAAGCCATGGGCAAGTCAGACGAGAGGCCTGGCTCTGGCTCCAGCAAGCTGCTGTCATGCTAGAAAGGAGGAAGAAACACTCCATGCAAGAGTGCCTCAAGAGATGTGGTTTCAGAAAAACCACACCATGCCCAAAGGGCTGGGGAGAGCCCCTCGTCACACCCTGCAGCCAGCACAGCCATACTCCTGGGCTGCCTGAACACGTGTGGATCTGGAGGGAGTGCAGACAAGCCACCATGGAAATGCTACACCTGGGGCTACTGGTACTGCAGACAGGATGACCTGCCAGGTGCCCGAGCCAGGCCTGGCCCAGCCCCTGCCCACCCAAGCAGGGCAGGATCACTCAACTTCTGTTCCTGCTGTGCTAGCCAGAAAGGAGACAGAACTTGGCTGAAAGGAAGGCTGGCACTGCAACCCATGCACACGCCAGTCTGGAGAACAGCAAACACCTTCAGCAGCAAAGCCAAGTGAAACAGGAAAATCTGAACACAGCAAGGAAAAGTCACCAGCCAGGACCACGCTTCTGCTTTTCACTGCTCAGTGGTGTAAAATCCCCAAACTACCTAGTGTTTCAGAAATCAGAATACTGCTCCTAGTTTGCAAAAATACAATACGTTCACACCTTCCATCCCTCTTTTCCTTGAGTGAAGGCAGGCTGGCACAACTCTGCACTGTGTGACAAGAGACATGTAGAAGCAACACCTACACGTCTCCTTATGCTAGAGGATCAAGCTCCAGCCAGCAGAGTCTTAAGTTTAGAAACGAAAGTTAAGTCTGGACTGAGAAAGATCTGCTGTGCAGCAGGTTAACCCTTGGATGTGAGCCAGGCAAGGCTTTCCAGAGGGGTTCTGCACAGAATGGGTATGTTTCAAGGAAGCACGAGCGGGCCCGGAGGCCGTGCTGCCTGCTGGGTGCTGACTCACCTGATGTGCTCCCCGAGGGAAGCAGAGCTGCACCCAGCTGCCCGTAAAGCGGGTCACTGGTTCCTCTCACCCTCTGTGCCGACTGTGCCGCGGCCTCGGCAGCGCCGGCGCAGAGGGAGGGACATCATGGGGCACTCGTTGATTTCACAGGATTTCAGCCTACTCGAGACAGCAGGAGGAGGCACAGGAACACCTTAGGGACACCCGCAGAGACCCCTCTCTCTCTCCCGTTCCTTGCTGCCACTTCAAGCCCCGAACAGGCGGGCAGCCGTGTGTGGCTGGGCTCTCGCTGCACCCCACATGGCTCACGGAAGGTGTCTGAGTCACAGGCAAGCGGTTCCACCCGCTCCGGGGGCAAACCCGGCGCTCCTCCCCTCACCACGCTGCTCCTGCTGCGCACGGAGATCCCTGCCGGGTCACGTCGGCCTCGACACGCGGCTTCGTGGTCTTGACCGAAGGCTGCGACCTCTGGTCTCCCCTGCCATTCCCAGGGATGTGCCAGTGTCCCAGCAAGGACCCTCCCGCACTCGAGCTGCAGCTTGCACCCGAGGTGTGGCAGAGGCTGCCGAGCTCTGGCCTGTGCTGGCTGGCAGTGTTCTCACGGTGAGAACACGGTGAACACGATGTTCTCACTGCTGCCCCGAGCACAGCGCAGCAATCCCTGCACACACGCAGAGCAGAGCAGAGCATGGGCGGGCACCGAGCACAGCGCAGCAATCCCTGCACACACGCAGAGCAGAGCAGAGCAGAGCATGGGCGGGCACCGAGCACAGCGCAGCAATCCCTGCACACACACACACACACACAGAGCAGAGCACAGCCAGGCACCGAGCACAGCGCAGCAATCCCTGCACACACGTAGAGCAGAGCGCGGCTGGGCACTGAGCACAGCGCAGCAATCCCTGCACACACACACACACACACACACACAGAGCAGAGCATGGGCGGGCACCGAGCACAGCGCAGCAATCCCTGCACACACACACACACACACACACAGAGCAGAGCATGGGCGGGCACCGAGCACAGCGCAGCAATCCCTGCACACACGCAGAGCAGAGCGTGGCTGGGCACTGAGCACAGCGCAGCAATCCCTGCACACACACACACACACACACACACAGAGCAGAGCATGGGCGGGCACCGAGCACAGCGCAGCAATCCCTGCACACACACACACACACACAGAGCAGAGCACAGCCGGGCACCGAGCACAGCGCAGCAATCCCTGCACACACGCAGAGCAGAGCGGAGCACAGCCAGGCACCGAGCACAGTGCAGCAATCCCTGCACACACGTAGAGCAGAGCGTGGCTGGGCACTGAGCACAGCGCAGCAATCCCTGCACACACACACACACACACACACACACACAGAGCAGAGCACAGCCGGGCACCGAGCACAGCGCAGCAATCCCTGCACACACACACAGAGCAGAGCACAGCCAGGCACCGAGCACAGCGCAGCAATCCCTGCACACACACACACACACACACACAGAGCAGAGCGTGGCCGGGCACCGCCGCACCGACCTGCACCTCCCCGTCTGCATTCACACCTGGCACAAAGGATCAGACACAGGATTAGGTTTCATCTCTGCCTGGACAAGGAGTTCACACGCCAAGGTGACAGGGCCTACTTTAATCATGCTTCCTATCTACAGCCAGGCTGTGGCAGCGGCACCTGGCAAACCCCTGCAAAGATCCTGGCGTGAGGGAGGGCGCACACCTGAACCCAAAACCTGCTGGCTGCACACAGCACAGATCCTGGGAAGGGTTAGTTAATAACTGATTTATGTTCAAACAAATCTTCTAAACCAAAGTCAGACACAAATCCTTTTCAGAGATTATCAGATCCAAAAGTCAGCGACACTGTGTTGCTGGGAGTTAGCGTGGTCTGCAGGGACTGCTCTGTCAGCGGGGAATTTCCTTCCCTACATTTAGTAACTGGAGAAATTCTTAGAGGGACAAAACTAAAAATTAAACCCCCTACCTTACCAGCACCAACCTTTGGAATGCATTTCCTATTATCAGCTCCAGTGCCATTTTGAGGGGCCAACTGGCCAGGGCCACTGTCCCCACTGCACTGCAACAATGCACTGGGTGAAGGAAGAGAAGGAACATCCCATCCTCAGCACAGCTGATGGAGCTGCTCCACCCCTGCAGCTCAGGCCTGTCCGCAACCTGCACACAGCTGAAGGAAGCCCAAGGCTCCCTGTGCTGGTCCCTCACAGCTGCACACTTCCACCCAAGCTGCTGCAGGCTAGGCTGTGCAGATCCACTCCCATCCTTTACAAGGACCACGTTTGCAGTCACAAACAAAAGAGGGATTTAGCTTATGAATTGAGAAAAAGACAAGCAAAACGCCCTTAGGTTTGCTTTGCTGACATGAACAAGGCACAGACAGGTCCCTTTGCGGTACACACCCAGATGGGATACCTTGTCACCTTCCTTCTTCACCTGTGAAGTTAAAACATCACCTCTGCACCCCTCCCCTCTCCCTTGTGCTGCCCCATCCCACAGGCACACGCAGCCACCCACCCCTGTGAGGGGCATACGGTGTGGGGGCTCCATGCAGCAGGACAGAGCACCTGGGAGAGGAAGCTTCTTTTTCTTCCTCTTCTTCTTCTGCTGCTGCTTTGAGGGCAGAACGTGGGCCTGGGAATCAGCATCGGAGCTTGACCTTCTGCTGGGGCAGGCAGTAGGCTCTGTCACAGAACCAGCACTTGTGTTCTGAGCCTCAGGTGACACCTCACCAGGGGGAACAGGCAGCACAAGTGCAGTTTGAGCTGGCAGGGCTTTCCCTGCCCGGGCTGGCAGAGCAGAGGAGGGTGTGCCAGGGCTCCCTGGGGAGGGAGCAGGAGCTGTGGGAGGCCCCAAGGCTGCGTGCGGGCGCACGGCCGCTCGCCCCTGGCCCTGGCCAGCGGAATGCGCTCCAGGGCCCGCTCTGCCGTCAGCTGCTGCCACGTGCTCCTGCCGGCGGCACCGTCTGTGGGCTAAGCCGCTGTCCTCAAGTTTCACACAGCTCTGGCAGGCCTCAAGTGACTGAGCATGATCAACCAGCCCTGCCGGCCTGTCCCCAAGGTCGGCTGGAAGGACAGTCACTGCATGGGATGCCTCTGTCCGCTGGAGCAGGCCAACAGTGCCAACGCCAGGTCTCGAACCGCTCTTATCACAAACTGTCATCATTCCTTCTTTGTCCTTGGTCTCAGAGAGGTCTTGGATGTATCCAGTGCCCTTCTGCAGGCTTCCAGTCACCGCCTCACTGGGGATGATGTCAGGATACAGCCCAGCACATTGGGCAGCTTCTGGCGTCTCCGAGACGACACTGCAGCTTGTGGGAGACTTTGGCAAGAGAGGCGACCTCTCATCGGGTGAGCCAGAGCTGCGTGGCTGGAAGAGGAGATCGGTGACTTGCCTGCAGCAGTTTGCAAAGAGGCTGTTTCCCATGCCTGGCTCGTGCAGCACCGGATCAGAACAGTCAGCTGTGTTCCGCACACGCCGCAGTCCCCACGCGCAGCCCGAGCCCCCGCTGCCTTCTCGACTCAGGCGCTCTCTCCAGAGACAATGCCTGTGCGGCCCCAGCGTGGCGGGACACGGGAGCAGCTGCCGACTCCGCGCAGGATCCCGGGTCCCGTGGGCTCACCAGCACCGGGTGCTGGCCTCAGCAGTTTCCCCAGGGTGCTGCCGGGGCACCCTCGGGCCCGGCCGCCCCCAGCCCCGTCCCCGGCTCCGCTCTCCGGTGCCCAGCACGGCCAGGCTCGCTCGGGGGATGCCGCCCGCGCCGGGCAGTTATAAATAGCCCGATCTCGAGGGCCACACCAGTGCAGCCTGGGACGAGCGCTGTGCCAAACCCCAGCAAGCGAGATGCATTGAATTACAAGGCCAGGGCAGTTACTATGGCACGCCCGGGCCCGGCACAGCCATCCATACTAAGCAGGCGAGCACAAAACATTCAGGCAGTGAACCAGTCAGTAGTTTCTAGACGAATTTTCTCTCCTCTCATGCTGCTCTGCCATATAAAACACAGCAAACCACAAAACCACATGCAATCCCCTAGCACCTCTCCTCTCTCCATGCTACTTAAAGAAAACCATGGCAACTGAAGCAGGGATTATGGAGCTGGAGCTTCCTGCAAGCACCAGGTGGCCCGGGCAGGTTGTGGCCAAGCAGGGCACTGCTCACACCTCCAGCGAGGCCGTGCCACGGCCACGGGCTCCTCACCCTCCATCCAGGTATCACTCCTTTGGCACAGGACAGGCCCCGAGCTCTGGAGCCTCAGCACTGGGTACCCCTCAGTGCCATGGGCCAGCACCAACTTTCAGATCACGTGAGCATTGTGGTTCTCTTGTGATTTGTGATTTTTGAAGGACTTCATATGTACTGATAGCTTCAACTCTTCCTCCTCACAAAGAGACCTCTGGGAAGAGGAGGAATCTCCTAGAAGTACCTGGTCAGGTCTCATGAAGCTGAGCTGCATTTCTTCGACTGCAGCCAAAGCAAGCTCACGAGAGCGCATGTGTTAGCTCTAACCTGTGAAGGCTGGTGTCAGTACAGCAAATGGAAATTAAATTTTAGCTGGATAATAAATGAAGCTAAATAAATAGTTTAATGAATCCAAATAAATTTACTAAATGAATAGGCATTAGCTCAAGAGACGGCCCTAACGAAAACATTTCTGCAGGACATCCCATCAGGGAAAGTGGGAGACATGTGGAGGTGCCTCCCTTGTGGAAACCACAGCTTCCCAGGAACGTCCCACTTTAGGTACAACAAGGACTTCTTTTAACAAGAGACCACAGTGAAACATTAGAGCTGCTCTAATGGCATCATTAAACTCAAATTGGTTCTAAGACATCTGTGGGCAGAGGTACAAGCTCTGCATTTATTTCTCAGCAGCTTCACACCACTGAGACTGGCTCGGAGAGAGAGCAGAGCACGGTGAGGCTGCAGCCTGCAGTGCTCTGGGCAGGGCCAAGCCCCAGGACACCCAGAGGTTCCCACAGCTGCTGGCTTGGGCACTTACAGGTGCTGAAATGCCTTGTGCTTTGCATCTGGCACCCTGACTTACCTACCCTGCACTCTCCACATCTGGGAACTACATTTAAACTCATTTGTACACTTTCTGTCTGGCCAAAACTTTTCATGAACCTAGCCTTGAAACTGGCTGTCTGGGTGACCCTGCTACAATAACACGCAATTCAAACATCACAGAAATCAGGCACAAAGAGTAGGACTAATGCAAAGTGCAAAGACCAGTACCAACAAAAACATTAACTGTGTCAGGAAGAACACGTTTCTCAAATTTCAAGAGAGCCGAAGGAAGGAATTGTATTTCAGACAGAAATCAAGGACCAGCCGATAATCCTCCAAGTCCCTGCGCTTTACCCTTGCACATAGCTTAGTTTCAGAAACTACGGGGACAGCAAGAGCAGGGAGCCAGCCAGCTGTTCTCTGGGCAGGGTTTGCAGGGGAGGTCTGGCAGCTGGATGGCCTCAGCAGCTCGGGCTGCCCTGCAGTGCAGCCGTGGCCCTCAGGGGCAGCAGCTCCCGCAGCTGGGCAAGCGCTCTGCCAGCAGCAGCCCAGCAAAGCTGCTGCCCACAGCAACCCCTCCCCAGGCACTCGGAGCGACCCAGCCAGGCCTGCTCGGTGCCCCGACCCCAGCTGAGCCTCCGGGGACACCAACAGCAAAGACAGAGCACGCACGGCACGGCGCGGCCCGCTACCAGCCAGGACCCACACTACCATCGCCAGCCTCATCCAACCCCCAGGGCAGGAGGCTGGCTAGTGGGGAGCCTGGGGAGCAGGGCTAGTCCCAGGCTAATCCAATCTGCTGGAGTTCTGGGCAAGATCCACGATCCTGCAGTTTTATGTCATTGCACATAACTACACACAACCCCTCTGCGCCTGCAGCCTCTCTAACAGCTTGGAGTAGAGACTTTCTCTTTAAAGTGAAAGACAAACTAAGGAAATGCTTTTTTAGAAAAACATGCCAACCAAAAGCTAATCCTGAGAGAGCCTTGCTACTATGGCAAAAACCTGACCTGCTGCCAAAAGTGACAGCCACCACAGGAGGAACCACGTGCTGGTTTTCATCTTTGGCACACTGTCCAAGCACTGTCCCAAGGACTGGCATTGCTTCTCAAATGCAAATAAAAAAATGCATGAACTTCAGACCTGTAAAGCTTCTAGAAATAACAACTTTCCAGCACAACCAATGGAGCACAATGCAGGGAAAGCAAAGCAAGTGCTGGGAAGCTGCGCCAGAAGAGGAGTGTGCTGCCAAGTTTAGTCATGTACAGACAATGAAGGTAAACACAGCACTCTGCAACATGGTGCTGGTTTTACTGTGCAGGAGGCAGTTCTGAGTCTGCAGGTGGATTTATCTCAGTGCGTGTTCCTGACCTACTTACTTCCACTTTTCAGCTGGGAAACCCAGGAGCAAGGCTGCTCAGGCAGAGCAGAGAGCTTCCAGTGGGAGCTGAGCTCTTATCCCACTGGCAGAACCGCCCCAAACACGATTCCCTCGGGTTCCCATCCCTCATCCTGCCACGCAGATGCTGCGTTATCACACTCCTTTCCTCTTCTTAACCTTGTAGCAGTGATCAGATTTCTCTTGCACAACTTTCTTCCAACTTGTCCCCCCCAAGCCTGCTAGAGCTGCGTATTAAAAACCCCGATGGCCAGCAATTCAGTCCTTTCCAAAACACCACTAAACTTCCAAGGTTGGGCAACTGACAGCAATAGCAGATCCCCAGATCAAGAATCAGCCTTCTGACCTTGTTGCTAATGCACAGCTACACTTGCCTGCACAGCATTTTCCATTAACACCTGCATTCTCCGCTGCTCTAACGGAAGATGTGTCTGAAAGCAGGCTTGTCTGGGGAGCTCGGGGACAGAGGGACTGAGCCAGGAGAAAACTAATCTGGGCGCAGCAAAGTTGAAGGCATTTTACAGTAGCTAGAAACACTACTGAACTTGTATGTGAGAAACTTGTTCTAATGCAGAGAAGACTAGGAATAAAAGCAATCCAAGAAAGGCTGCACACAATGGCTGTCTGATCTCACACCAGCTGACAGCAAAGGTAACAACCCAAAACCGAGCCCATCAGAACTCATTACAGGAACACCAACTGTCCATGCTTGTGTGTTTCTGCACTCAGGAGGTCAGAGTAGCCTCAACAGTTTCTAGGCTGGGGGAAGAGAGCAGCAGCCATCAGCCCTCTCAGCTGGCACAGAGCCCAGCACCGCAGCCTGGGTGCCTGGCACAGCTCAGGGGGGTTCTGCAGCCAGGGGCCCACTCACAGCCTGCCCATGACTCCAGGTACTGAGAGCTGCCCCCAGACACAGCCAGTGCTTGCCTACAGGGGTGCTCTGCAGGGCACACAAGCAGTGGGAACACCAGAGCCCAGGAGCCAGAGCTTGTGAGGCCGATGCCAAAGCGGCCAGGCTGGCCCTGCTCCCAGGCGAGACCTTCCTCCGCTCCTCCCCAGACTCCACGTGCCATGCCGAAAGGATTCTTCCACCTTCCACCCTCCCTCAGGAATCAATTGTGGCTGGAGAAGCAGAGATTACACTGCATAACTTTTTAACCTGGTTGCTGGCACTGCAGGTGTGATACTTGCTTCAAAATTCAACGCAGGGGTGAGAGGGGGAGGCTACGAGCACTGAGCTTCCCACTGCTGAACTGCATCCAACCTGCTCCACTGCCAAACGCCAGTGAACTTTGCTTCAGGTGACAAACTTCAAAAATCCACCATAAAACCAGCGGGGGATGGAAGCGACGTGCGGGTCAGTCAGGGGATTCACGTGCCTCGGGACGAAGGCCAGCCACAAGCCACACTGCTTCCACGCCTTTTGCTTTAGAGACCAGAGAACAGAGCTGAGCCTGAGACGGGCACGCAGGCTCCTAAGTTCTTGAAGGTACAAACACCAAACAGAGCAAACCCAGGGCAGCTGGAGGCATCTCAGGGTCGGTGCCAGCCCAGGAGCCGGCACTGAGAACAGTGAGGACATGGAGGTGTGCACGCTGTCCCTGAGCCTGGCCTGAGCCACTCAGGCTCCGACACACAGCAAGAACAGCCAGCAAGTAACTAGTTAAACCTGCAACTTCCAGCTGAGATGTCGAACAGGCCTCTGCCCTTTCCAGGAAAGCTCTTGCTCATGAGTATTGTCTAACATGTCAGTGGCGGCCGCAGCCCGAACTTGCAGGAGGACCCAGCCCTCTGCTGCCCGCCACCCCCGGGACCGGCATGCTCGCCCGCGGGCAGCGCCACGCGGTGCCCGGAACGAGCTCGGCTCCCGCAGCCCTGGCCGGGAGCGCCCGCCGCGCCCACGGGCTCCGGGAGCGGCCCCCGGGCCGAGAGCTCCCCGCGGGCCGGGCACGGCGCTCCCGGCCCGGGCCCCCCCGCGGCCGCGCGGTGGAGCGGCCCCATGAAGGTGACCTTCACCGGGCCCGGGGCTCCCGCTGCGCCGG